CAAATTAACTAGGAAACCCTTGACGGCAAGTTACTTCGGGACTGATAGAATCACCACAAATTGAGATGAGGCATTCAAGCGGGCTGGACACACTGACACTCGAGCAGTAGGATCCCTTGAACTGAAGAAATGAATAGGAAGATACATGCAATTTAAGGTAGGCGCACACTAACGTCTCAGTATCAGCACCATAATTTGTGTGTGTGTGTATGAATTTTTTAGTTTGTCTCATGATTGATGCATTCACCTTAGTACAGTATATCTTCTGTTTCATGTGTTTTCTGTGTAAAAGTTGGGTCCCGATGACCAATAAGCAAAGAACAACCTTCTCCAACTGACAGTGTTATTCTCCTAAACAATTTGCCATTTTGGTATTTGCATGGGGAATAAAGAAGAACATTCATCATTAGTACTTGAAGAGACTTGCCTGGTTGGGGCAGAACAGGATCTGCTATAGTGCATGTTACTTGACTGCTCACTGTACGACTTCAATAAAATCAAGGTCTTTTCCTGATGCAAGAAAATGTTTTCTTGCTGCAATGGTAAGCTATTCTGAATCCATCTTATAATGTGGCTGCTCATGTTTGGTGCAGACGTAGCGCATGGCAGGGAGATAAAGTGTTGAGAAAAAGGACGATGATGTAAAGGGCAGATGATAGGGGATTACTCAATAAGTATGCGGAGCTGCTATAAAGTTTCCTCCTTTCTGTATAGTTATTTCACTATCCACCTAAATGTCATCCCATGTATATGTAGGAAACTAATTTTGTGTTGCTAAATTTTCTGTATATATTTAATATTATTCAGTGTTAAACTAATAATGATCGAAACAATGCTAGACTTACATGTTGATTCATCATTTGTAGACTTTTGGTTACAACTGATAGATATGAGCAGTTTAGCACTATTCTTGCTTATATATCAAAAAATATTATGATCAGCAGGCTAAATCTACCACATGGGTCGTTAGCTCTGTTACCGTAACATTGCACCATCCTAACACGCGAGGAAAATAATTTCACAAGATTCTCATATTAAGTATCTATTCAAAGAGGTATGTGACAATGTGCGGGAAGGAGAAATTCACTCGGTAACAACACCGATGCTACGGCTTGCATGCTGAGAGTTGAGACCTGGTGAGCTTACTCGTACTATTGTGTGATGTGTTAACTTACTTTTGTAGTTTCTATATGCCAACATATATCATGCTGTTTTATGCTTAGTAGTATTTCAACATAATTTTTCTATTCATGCATTGAAGCAAAACTGCAGTTAGTTGCTACAGAGCTAGGAGATCTTGGTGTATAATAAAATATATTAATATGGAGGGGTTCCTTTGTCACCTGATTTGGTAAGGTATATAGTACGGAAGTTTTTTTATTTCATAATCATATTCTTGATGTACTGTTTAACGTATTTTCTTTTCAGAGATTTGCCCTTCAAATTTTCTTGTGATAGCTAATTGCCTTTCTGTAAAACTCTTTGTGCGGATTAGTTGATATGATCAATGGTCAAACTGTTTGAGTTTCAAAATCATTTTAACATTTCAAATTTGGGGGTTGTATATATACAACCGGATATCATGTGTATCATGCATAGTGATCTACTTTGTTCTGTCTGTTAGCATTAATTAATGTCTACTTCTTGATTATATTTGATATACTTCAGATAGTGAGCATGATTGTGGGGATGGTGCGTATGAGGATTTTTTTTCCTTCTCCCATTGGGACACACAGGTATATTTGGGTTTATAATATGGGTTGTTGCCCCAGTTGCTTTTGCTTGGCGATAATGGCAATGCAGTTATCACCATGTTTGCACCGTTCTTCACATGCACATCCCTAGGCTCCTTATGTTACTGTTCACCATCACTGTTGATTATTTCTCCTTCTATTCTGTTATCCAATAGGTATTCTCTTACTACATATAAATTTGGAGGACAAAGCATTTATTATGTTGATATATTAAACCCCAAATTGCTGACATTTATTCTGTTGATATATTAAACCCCAAATTGCTGACATGTAACGTCTTCTATCTGAATTTGTTTCATAAAATTAATCATTGGTTTAGTTTGATAGATTAAACCCAAATTAGTTTATGGACTGAACTAGAAATAACACAATCACATATTAGTTTTCTTTTTAAATTTCATAGTAGAGATTTAGCCGTCGATGACCCACTACACGTGGATGCCACATCTTTTCTTCCTCACCTATCGCGCGAATTTTCAATGCCGGTCCACTGCGATCAGGGTGCTGGAGGCTCTTGGGCTTGCAGCTCGCATGCTTGGAGGTAAGTTTTGTAGCCTCCCGTTGCAACGCACGGGCATTTGTGCTAGTAATATTCTAATATGGGTAACAGAATAGTTCAGCCCTATATATATATATATATATATATATATATATATATATATATATATATTAAGACATTATAATTGGGCACCCTAGGAGCTCCCTCACGCTATCAGCCTTTGGAGCCGTCTGATTTTTGTTATGGCCATCTCTAGCCGTTGGATGCGCAGTGAATTTTTCTTGACGCTTCCGTCCCGGCAGCTTCGTGAGGGCAGCTACGCTCGTAACTTTTTTGGAGCAACCTGGTTAATTAGGCCCAACAGCCCAACTAGCATAGCCGCCGACCCAAGCGATAGAGTATTCCGTGAGCGATTGGTGTGCTCGCGAACCCTAACCAAATCCAGGGGCGATGGCGGCGGCGAGCTGCGATAGGTCCTGTTTAGCCCTTTTGGTAGCGCGTCTACCGTGATGATGATGACGCCCCTGCCAAGGTTGCCGCAACGGAGCCCACCCTGGGTCGCAGCCTCGCAGGTGCCGGTGCCTCATCAGCCGCGAGGGTAGGCAAGAAGGCAAGATCTCATCGCGAGGGTAGGCAAGAAGGCAAGATCTCATCGTGGTAACTCCTTCTCCAGCTTGCTTTTTTCTGCCCTGATTTCTAGGATTTTGTATTTGTTGAAATGATTGGTAGGCTGTTCATGGGGGCGCCGTAGGGAGTCCAAGTCCTAGCATGTCTCAAGCATCACAGTAGCCTTCCCCACCACCACGCTGCTGCAAGAAGATTTTCATGGTAGCTGAAAGGGGTGGCATGGAGAGGAAGAGATGGATGTGGTGTCGTGCTGGCCAGCAGCAGGATGACTATGGCAAGGTTCCAGCAGTCCACGGTGAAGGTCTTTGTAATCAATTATGTGCTACATATCTTTCATGAACTCGATTTTTTTATCCAATCTCTTTATTTTGTGGAAATTTGGGTCGGTTGCAGTGCGTGATGATGATGATGTTTTTGTTTTGTATAACAAAAACTCGCCTGGTATAATGTGACTTTGCTGCATGTCCCCATTAGGTTTAGTTCTTTGTTGACTTAATGATGTTTTAGATATCCTAACAAAAATAATAATCTTTTATATGATAATTCTCAACAATGTGTGTGTTGGATTTTGCTTCATTACTTACTAAGGTTTTAGGTTTTTAAGAATGTGATTTCAGGATAATTACTCATGCCTTCTCCAAATACAAACGATGCACAGATGATTGTTACTTCAGTGTTTAAAAAAATCATCTTGGACTCTGTGCTAACCACAAAATAGCTAGATTCAGATATTTTAGACTTCAGATTTTATAACATGAAATTTGTTATTTTGCAGCTTATCGGGTATATGGTTCGAAGCTTTGATTAGCACACAACCAGAGGGATAACACTTGAGGTTTGTAGCCTTGCAAGTTTAATAAATTATGATATGACGGTCATATGTTTTCTTTTAATATACTTGAAATAATATTGAAGTATCTTCCCCCTTTTCCATCCATGTACTATGTTGATGTAGACACTATAAGCTCTGGTCTGGAGGGATGATATTTAATTTACACAAAAGATAAATGTATTACTTATAGCCCATGGTAGATTTACATGGGCTGGGAGTGGGTTGTTATTTTGTTAATGCTCTTGCTTGTGTTGCCTCGATTAAGGTTCATTAACGTTGTCAATTCATATGCCCATACTTGTAAGTGTGTTTGTTTAGTTGTTTTTCTCTTCTATGGCAATATAAGGCAATATAAGTTAGTTCTACTGCATTTATATTGTTTATCCTACTGTTCATTCATTTAACAAATCATCTACTCGGCCTAGCGCAAGAGATGTTCGTCATATTTCTGCTCCTATAGATGTCCTTAGAGTTTCATTTTATATGTGCTTTCAGGTTTTAGGACAATGCGTTTGTTCTTAGATACTCAGCTAGAGTGGCAAGAAAATCATTCTCCTTTGGCATATTGGTCTACTTTTTGATCTGAAATCTCATTCTTTGCTAATGTTTTTAAAAAAAATCCTTTGTTCGCTTCTATTTTACAATATTTCCTTACATGCAATTTATGGTTATATGAACAACAGTAATGTTGTTGTTTTATCCAGAATCATGGCTCTTTCTACGATCTTATATGAAACCGAAAATCCTTGCATTTATCACAACTTCTGCAATACCAAAAGCTTTCTTGCAGAGTGCTAGATATACATAACCATAAATTGCAATGAAGAAAAATCATTCATTAGAAAAAGACTTCAGAAATAATAAGGTAGAGAGACCTAGCCATCTATAAAAAGAACTCCAAGCTACTAGAATATCTGTTCAAAACATATATGTTTTATCATAATTAAAGGTTTTAACCATTTGCTTTTTTTAATATTGAAAGTTCTACCATTCTATTGTAATAATAGACGGGCGCAGCAACGCGCGCCACTCCTGATCTAGTCTCTCCCTAATAATAAAGCACGGATTGGGTCTCCGGGTTCACCGTCGCGGCGTTTTTATAAAAAGGTCCATGCGGTTTTTGACAATCAACCCGCGGTCCTTTTTATACGTGACTAATTTAAGAAAACGTTTCGTTTTTACAAAGAGGACCCTGTAACTTGTATATTCAACCCGCGGTCTAGAGTCCAAGCGTCTGGTTTTATTAGTATTAGTCAGGACCAAGTCAATGCGATGCCGCGGCGGTGCGATGCAGAACGGGGGCGGTGGATGGAGATTGCAGGGGCCGGATCCGTGCACGGCAGGGCCTAGGGAGGCGGATCCGCAGGCGGACGGCGCGGCAGTTATCGCCGGTGATGACGAGGAAGGCCGGAGCGTGGTTTTTCGGGCGGATCCATGGCGTCGAGGGCTGTTGGGCAGAGAGGAGACAAGGAGGTGAGGGAGAGAAGAAGGGACAAAGGAGGAGCGGTGCCGCGACCTAGGAAGGAGCTTGCCGGAGCCGAGCGAGCGACGACGGACGGGCGCGGGAGACGAGGGATCCGGTGCTGCGGCGCGAATCCTGCCACAGGTGCGAGCCGCTGGTCTTCTAGGACCACCCCTTACGACGCCATTGGCGTCGACGGCTAGGCGCACGACGGCCCAGCGCCCTCCCGTTGCTACAACGCGTGGCGGAGTGCCGTGAGGCCGCGGATGCTGCTGCTACACCCGCACCACCAGCCCAAGGTCAGTCTCCCTTGCTCTATAGCGCAACTCCCGCCTAACACCATGTTGGCCTACTTCTGCCCCTCTGGTTTGGAGAGTGTGCGCTCTCAGCTCTGCTGGGCCGGCCGTGCTCTCTTGCTGATTCTTATCTGCAGCTCCAACATGAAAGCCTACAAATCAACTCTTGAGATTTGTCTTCAAAATAGGATTTTTTTACTATGACATACTCACCAAAGTTACATGATGTGCAGTTTAGAAAGTTGATTACTGGGGAACTTTTACTACATGTCCAGTTATGGTTTCATGATAAAAGGATCATGCACCAAATGTTTGTTGAATTGCTGTTTCAAGAAAATGTATGGAGTTTTCATTGCGTGCTTCAAGTCATTAACCACGTAGAATAAATCCTATAAGCTGTTCTTACCATACAATCTTTTGAACCAATTTTTGTAAACTTAGTACAATATGATTATTGTTTTGTAGGCTTTTCTATAGATATATTTGAGCTATTAAAAATGTGATTATATCATTTGTCATCTGAAAACCAGACTCATTTATACATAATGGGACATAATGTCCAGAAAATAGTCACCAGGTACAAACATCACTCTTGACCTACATTGTACAACATTGCATAATTTTCTGTTTTTCTTGAGGTACCGCTCAGTAATTTTTTATCGCATACATAGATAGGACAAAGGTCACAAGAGCTGATTTTGTGCACCTTGCTGCATGTGCACTCACTTATTTAAGATATTCAAAGTGTGAGCTTTTGAAATTTCCAAAAATAAGTCAGATTTTCATTATTAACCCATGTGCACATGCAATGCTTTCTGACTCTCTGACAATTGTCTTTCAGAATAATTTGATGAACCACCCATGTCACCCTTCTGCTTGGTTCCATGGGAAAGCAATTTACAAAGCTCCAGTGGGTCAATACAGCCTTGATTCCATGTTTTCTACCACTGCTTAACTTTATTTGAAAAACTGTTGTTGTTATGTATGTAGGATACAATATAGAGTTGTATGCAGGATATAGTACTAGCGTTGGAATTTCAGGGCATCCAAAAAGAACATAGTATGCTTCAACCCATGTTTTCTACCATTGCTTACCTTTATTTGAAAAACTATTGTTGCTATGTATGCAAGATACAATACTAGAGTTGGAATATCAGGGTATCCAAAAAGAATTTACTATGCTTCAAGTAAGAAAGTTAATTTGTTTGACTTTTGTAAGGACTAAATTACTAGCTTAATGCATGGAACTTATTGAGCTGCAGTCATGGCATGTGCTTACATAGAGACCTTCGTTCTGTGGATACACCTCTTCTTATAGGACAGGTTGTCTACGAATTATCCTGAGGTTCAATTTTCATAATAAAATGTGTGTTTTTATTTATCATGGTTTCTGCTCCTGCATGACCAAAATTTCCAGATGTTGTTTTATCATTTCCATCCGACACCATTAAATCTCAATCTTACCTATGTTGAAATGGTTCCAGCGTGTGCGTGATGCATTGCTCCCCTTAGTTTTTGAAGGAACATGGTGCTATTCCTGGTGCTTTTGGTTATGAAAAAACTGACATTAGTCAGGAACTTTCTAAGGTGATCACCTTACTGCTCTGTTCTCATCGTACCACTTCTACACAGTTTACTGAGTTTAAAAATCCATGCAGTACTCTAATTCTGAAGCTTTGGTTTATGCGAGATGTGGCTGAAAGAAGAAATGAGATGGTCGAGATTCTAATGGATTTCCCCCAATTGACAATGATATTTCATGACATGATGTGAAGAGTGGAGCCGCTTAAAGTACATGGCGAGCTCACCATGGCCGCCTTTCTTCCTACAGATTGGGAACCGCCGACCGCGACCCATGGTGTGTAGATGATACACCGGTGAGGTGTTCCAAGGATGAAGAGGATCTCACGATTTTCGAGGATGAGGAGGATCTTGCGATTTCCAGATTTCAAGTGTCTACACACTATATGTAGTAAGTTTTTTTAGAGAAGTAGTCAAATTAAATCTGGATACCAATTTATTGGAACATTATATTTCTTAGAAAAGTAGTCAAACAACGATATCAATTTGTTGGAACCATCAAGGAGGTGACACTCCTGGAGGGTATATATTCTCCATCTTATGCCTATTTGAAATACAGTTATAGGTCTGTACTTTGCCACTCATATTGTAGTACTCAACTGTAGCAATGATGGAGCAGGAAAGTGTGCTGAACCTTCTAATATGGATGTTGCACTTGTACGAGCTAGGGACCACTATTGCTTATCATATGGATCGTAGATGTAGTGGTAATGTACCACCTATTTTTTTAGTATAGTGATGATATGTTATATAACAATCTGGTTGCCGTGACGTAGTTCCCTGCAGGGCCAGTGAAAAAATAGAATAAAAAGGTTCATTAGAGAAATAATAGAATTAACGATTGAATATCCAATGGCTTTGATTTTATATCTATGTGGAAGATTGACGTAAGATTACGTGTACAATATACAAGTGAAAAACATTATAATTTATTTAGCTGAGCTATTACCAAAGTTTTTTTTGTCAGAGGGGGATCCTGTATCTTTATATCATTATCAAAAACATGACTCTAGGCCCTAAAGAAACAAGAAAAATACATAACAAGTCCTTAGACTTTTACAGAAAGGAGCTCAAACTGATGCAAAACATGATTGGGTCCTTGCATCCGTGTAGGTTCCACCTCACTGTTGTCGGGAACAAGCCACTTGGGGCAACGAGGTCGCTACGACTTTAGGCCATACATAGCCTCGAACAGAAGAAACACTGCCTCCTTGTTGGCATAGCACTAGGAGGAAGAAAGATGTGAACGGATAGATCCGACGCCACAAGGCTGCCCTACAGCCCAAAGAGTGACTAAGAGTGACTAGAGCGATGAAGACCGCCCATCGATCGCCAAAGACCAGTTTCAACGAGCGGCGTAGCTTCATAAGAAATTTTGGTGATAATAAGCTCACATCCGATCATATAGTATAATTTTGGCTGAAATTAACACCAAAGCTTCTATTGCAAAAAAGATTATGAAATATGAACTATTTGTTGGTAATCTTGAGTCATCTTGAACTTAAATATTGGCTTTACAAGAAGACTTTCTTTTTTCGTAATAATGGATGAGCAAGAATTTTAGAAACCAATGTTCCATTTTGTTATCCACGTAACGTAATCATCTGTTCAATTCATTTCCCGTGGCAACACATTTTATATGAAATATTAAAGTTTTATTAAAAAAAAGGAAATTTTCACGTTCAACATTTATTAAAATTGGATATAAAATATGACGAAAAATGAACCATCAAGTAGGTTCTACCACTTTTATCACCCGGTGCAACGCACGGGCATTTGTACTAGTCTCTACCTACTAATAAAGCACCGAGTGCTTCTGGTCGTACATCGTCGCCGTTTTTGCAGAAAACCCCCTACTATTTTAGTTATTCAACCCAAAGTACTATTTTAAGTGGGTATCTGAAAAAATGCTTCATATTCGTAAAAACACCCCTGCGTTAGTTACAATTCTACCCCCGATCCTTTATTAAACTTCACCACCGGGAACCACCGCCGCTATCCATTTGCGTTCCCATCGCCGGGGCCGCAGCTTGCCGCCGGCGTCCACGCCGTAGGAGCCAAGGAAGGGGCGCCCTGCTGGTTTGCCGGCGCTGGAGAGGCTCGTGGCAGGGGGAGCTCCTCACCTCTGCTTCGGGCACGAGGCGGCTGAAGTGCTGCCGGCGCTGGAGAGGCTCGTGGCAGGGAGCTCCTCTCCTCTGCTTCGGGCACGAGGCGGTTGAAGCGCTCGAATAGCAGAGCAGCGGGGCGAGGGCGATGGGTGGCACGGGCGCTGGACGGGACTTTATGCAGGTCTTCCGCGAGATGGGGATGATGTGGAGGGGGTCTGGACACCGGCGGGTCGCGAGGCGACCGAAGCACTCGTGGTGTAGAGCTGCGGGGCGGGGGCCGAAGGGTGGCGCGGGCGCTGGATGGGAGACTTGATGCAGGTCTTCGGCGAGATGGGGATGGCGTGGAGGGGTCTGGACGCCGGCGGCGCTCGGGCTTCAGGCGGCCATGGTCCTCTCTATCTGCTGAAAAATAGAAGACAGAGAGAGATCTTAGAGAAAAGAAGCGCGGGAGAGAGAAGAGAGATGGAGGAGGGGGAGGGCTCACCGACGGCGCGACTTTGCCGGAGACGCTCGACAACGCGGTGGGCCGTGGGCGTTGACATGTTGCTCAGGGGCTGCGGGCCGTGGGCGGCGCCTGCTCGCGCGCGAGACCGACCCGTGTCTGATTTGGAGGTGAAGGGGGGTGCAGCGACGGCGGTGCTCGAGGCTCGAGCTGCGACGGCGGCCTCGAGCGGGAGGAGTGACGGAGCCAATCTGATTTGAAAAACCAGAAAAAGGGGCCGATAGTGGCTGTCGAAGCTGGAGCGCTGGCGGCCGCCGGTGGAGCGCGGAATCCGCTGGCGTGCGGAGGTGGTGCGGGTGTGCGGGAGATGCGTGGAGGAGAGAATCCCGGCGGCAGCAGCGGCGTGTCCTAGGGGGAGTTGGGTTGTTCTGTAACGAGAGAATGAGGAGATAAGGTTGCGACGACAGACTCTATAGGACACCTGGAGTCTGGTTTCTTCTAGGCAAGCCGATGTGTGACAGCTAGCTAGCGCATGTTCTTATTTATTTTTTTGCGAGGGAGCTAGCTAGCGCAGGTTGACGATTAAAGTCTCCGAGTCCATCATACCGTGTGTTAGCATGCAGAATTACTTTTGTTTTAAGGTTCAATTTTACTCTGTTTATGGATTAGTATTAGATAAAAAAGTTGAACTAAGGCCAAATTCAATGAGCGACCCATTTCACCCGACCGCGTCCGTTTGAGGTGAAACGGACACAAATCGAATTTGGTTGCTATATTTGTATATCCGGAATTTAAATTATTTATTATTATGACACTATGTAATTTATTTGGTTGTAAATTATATGCAATGAGTGCTTTTATTCGGTTCTGAAACTATATTATTGAGAATAAAAATTGTCTACATTTGGCCGTCCGGCCGAGCGGACCAAATGCGTCGTCGGCGTTGGACGCACTGCCAACGCGTCTGCAAAGAGGCCTAACGGTGCTCCTTTACCCAAACCAAATGACAAAATCCAGACAAAATAGACTTCTGTTTGGGGTCGCCTGTTGGAGTTGACCTAACATATATACACAAAGTAGGGCACACACAACAAAAACATATATGCTTGCATGTTTAGTAAAGTAAATATCAAATAAATTGTCTCTCGACGCAATTGATTCCGGTTCATATAAGTGCATAATGAACCATCAACGCCAAAACACAGGTATATACGTGTCATGACAATAGAGTCTTTAGTTAATCTTAATAATACTA